TTCTACCACTGGACCCGATCAATCGTAACACACTACAGGATTATCGGCTACGAAATCGCAAGCGTCAATGTCAAATTTATTTATATAGCACTTTAAAACAGGTATAAAACTGCACCAAAGCGCTGTACAATAACGACAACACAAATGATAGAACAGAGTATAAAACAATACATCAATTAAATGCCAAAGAGTAAAAATGAGTTTTAAGAAGTGATTTAAAATGATCCAGGCTGTGGGCAGATCTAATCTGGAAAGGTAAGTTATTCCATAAAACAGGAGCAGCAACAGAAAAAGCTCGATCTCCTTTCCTCTTAAGTCGAGTCCGAGGAACTGTCAGTAATAACTGATTATTTGACAGTAAAGTTCTGGACACAGACCGGAATTTTAAAAGGTCCCGAAGATAAGGGGGGCGGGATATCCATTTAAAACTTTATAAGTTAACAAAAGAATCTTAAAATCTATTCGATAAAAGACGGACAGCCAGTGTAAAGATGCCAGAGTTCGCCTTATATGGTCATGCTTCCTGGTTCCTGTAAGAAGCCGTGCTGCTGCGTTCTGGATCATTTGAAGTCGCTGAATCTGCGATTTTTCCATCCCTCTATATAAAGAGTAGCAGTAATCCAGACGAGTTGTTATGAAGGCATGGATAAGTCCTTCAAAGTCCTTAAAACAGAAGTAAGATTCAACTTTTGCTAAAAGCCGAAGGTGGTAGAAACTTGATTTAACGACAGAACTAACTTGTTTATCTAGCTTTAAAGAGTTGTCAAATATGAAACCAAAATTCCTAGCAGAGGTCTGACAAGACCGAGCCAAGGAACCAAGAATCTGATTTGTGTTAGAACGTTTAACATTCTAAGATTGTTGTAAGGGGAAAATCGGGGCAGAAAAGACGTGCCCATCTTCTCTATCTAAAATCTAATGATTATTGAAGGGCAATATACAGACTTCATAATCTCTATTCTTTTGGTTGAATGTAGTTATTATTTCCACTTTGGTTTTATGTTGTTTAGTTTTTATTCAAGTGCATTTATTGTTAACATAAACTGAGAGTTCATTTTATTTTTGTTTTTGGTTGTTCTGTTTACCAGTTCCAGTGGTAAGTGTTATTTTGAAAATAATGTGTATCTATTTTAGGCATGATATTGCTTGTATTATTATGTCATTTCCATTAAATCAGTGTAAAAAAATCTTCAAACAATATTATGGTTTATCGCAATAATTTTTGAGACAATTAATCGCTCAGCAAAATTTGTTATGACAGGCCTACTACTAAGCTAAAAAAAAGTGACAGATGAGTCAGCAACCACAATAATTTATTGCAGCAATAACATCCCAGATAGCACAGAATGATTGAAACAACATTGAATCAATGACACAGTTTCAACATTGGTTACTTGGCTAGAGGTGGATGGTTGTTTGATGGTTGATCCACCGTCATTTGTCGTCTTCAACCAAAAATCAACCATTAATCAGACTTCGGCATTTCAGTGATCAGATTTCAACCACAAAACAACGTTGATTCAATGTCACAGTTTCAACGGTTTGATTGGATGGTTGTTTGATAGTTGATCCACCATCATTTGTCGACTTCAACCAAAAATCAACGATTCTAACTATTTTTCAACGTTGATTTAACATCATGTGCTATCTGGGATATGATAATATATGCTTGGCGTTAGTATTATACACCCATCCATCAAAAAGCCAACTTGTTTTATAAAAGATAAAAAAATAAATCTAACAGGCATATATTCCTTTCAATGAAGTACATCCAGTAATACTACTCTGACAGCAGTAAGCATGGTTCTAGTTTTCCTCAGTCCATGGTTCGTACCAGGGGCGGATCTACTGGGGTGGCATGGGGTGACAGTTGCCACCCCAAACGAGAGCCTGTTGCCCACCCCTGTTGCCACCCCAGCTAGCGACAATGAATTCAATAAATAGTTATGGCAAGCCGGACATTAAGCGCATGAAACTCTTTTTTCCGACAACATTGAATGTAACACAATGTAACCTTCAACCTACTGCTAAGTAGCGGGAAGTGCGAGAGAAGGACGGAGCGTGAGGCAGCAGCATTGATGGATAAATATTACTGGACTGGACATTATGTGATTTATTGTAAGTCACACATGCGCCATTGCTGTCCATTGAGTCAGGAATATCGGTGGTCAGGAAAATACTACAATCACGCAAAGAATCAGAACAACGGGAGCAAAGTTTAGCAGTTAATTCAACCATAGATAATGGTAATAAGGGCTTCAGATTTCACAGATGAGGAAAACGTTTTAATTTTAAGAAAAGATTGAACAAGTGAGCAGTGGGTCAGTTATACTAGCCTAACTGTTGCTGGCCTCGTATTAACTTTGATAGCCTTAGCATGTGCTGCGCAGTTCGGTGTGTTTTGGTTCCGTTAGGATTAAACAACCCGCCCATCAAGTCATCAGTAGTGCAGCTGTTTAAATCAGCTAATCAACCACCGCGGTTATCAGGCGAAAACTTATTAATAATCACAATATAGACATTAAGCCTGACAACATAATATAACAGACTGGATGTTCTGTTTTAGTGTTTTTGCTACTTTTTGTGTGGGAAATGTTTGCTTTTTGGTTTTGATTCCCCTGATCGGTGATCTCTGCTCTATCTGCTCGTTGAGCTGTTGTTTGTCGGTTGCAACGGCAACGGTCCGTGTGTAATGCCGACATACAGAGCGAGAAAAGGAGGAATAGAAGTTGTTGGAGCTAATTTTTTTTATATCTTTATCCATTTGAATTTTGTTACTTTATTCTTCAGTTTCTATTTTTTGTATTATTTACAGAGTTTATTTGTAGGTTGATAATTGTTGTTTTTATTTATGTTTTGTTTTATTATTTTTCTTATGTATTTTCTAAATTTAGACAGGAAGTAATGTGGGTCAGTCCACTTTCTATAAGCTAGGGGCCTGAAGGACCAGCAGGCATTTGGGTTTGGGGCCGATGGTTTTTACCAGAGCAAGAGTGGTAGGTAGCATGAGAACAAATGAAAGTTTGAACTCTGTAATTGTTTGGTGAAAGAGGAAAATAAATAATCAAGAACAATCAATAAGTTTGGACACTGAACCTTGTTTTGCCCGTGTCGAGAAGCATGACTCCAGTGCCTCAGTTTGCTTGGCAAACAATCAGAAGTGGTTCTGTGTAGTTTGGTTTTTCACCTGTTTATCAGCTTTATTGTGCCTTTATTGTGGTGCACTGCAGCTGCTGCAATTCATAAAAGTTAAACAAGCGACAAAAACTGAGCTAATCCCCTGTGTTTGCAAAACGTGGTGATATTTATAACAGTCGTCAAACTACGGCTCCTACAGCATATTTAAAATAAAATAATTGACCAATATAAATAGAAATTCGCCCCTTCTTGCATCTTGACAGAACTAACAGAAACTAAACTGTTTATAGATTTGTATCATGGAGAATCGATCAAACATCAGTTTTCTAAACTTTATTTTAAGTCGTATTTCATAGATATATCCAATAACAAATGGTGGCACTACTAATATTTTCATGACAGATTTCTGCTCATCCTGCATTGGGATAAAATGGTTTTCTGGACACAATGAATCACATAGCGACCAATAGGCGCTGTCCAGTCCAGTAATACACATCAATTATCAGGAGTATGAAAGATGTAAAAATAATTAACTATATACTACATTAAGAAATTGTATTTAAGCCTCGGCGCTACATGAAGCTCATTTTGAAACAATGGAAGTTAAAAACAATATTTTGTGTGTATATATATATATATACACTGCCACCCCTGAAAAAATCCCTGCCCCCCTCTTGCCACCCCATAAATATTTTTCTAGATCCGCCCCTGGTTCATACCAAGCATGGTTCTGGTTCTGGTTCAAGCAGCATTCAATTTCTTGAACAAACTTCCAGAAAACTGCAAAGCTGCTGAAACACTGAATTCCTTTAAATCAAGGCTAAAAAACAATTTATTTAAAGCCTTCCATCAATAAGAACTGGAAAAAAGTTCAACTCTCCCCTCAGCATGTTGACATGTTGTTCTTTAACACCTCTTTAATTATGAGGTGTTTGTGGGTCAGTGGAAGAATTATGGGCAACCATATCCAGAAATACACTGCTGTCATGAACCCATTTAGCTGTTGCTATGGCAACTAGGATGATGCACAGACATTTGATTGGAAAATTGACTGATAAAGTAATCCAACTAAAATGAGTTGGATTATTGGTTAAATGATCATCATCTAAACTCAGGACTATGTAATAATACTGGTCCGGACAAAGTGCTGCATGCTTGTAAGCCTATTCCAGGTTTCTCATTGAAAGTTTGCATGTTTGCAGATTTTTTTGTAAAATATGTCTAACACGTTTGAAATGACAAGCAGTTTGTGGAGCTGAAATTCTTTGGAGCAATTGTACATGAGACTCTATTGCCTGGAGTTTGCAAAGCAGCTAATCAAGGAGCACCATTCATTTCCTTTGCAGTGATTGGCTGTGGAGGTAAGGAAGACTGTAGACCTCAGCTTCTGCTGAAGAGCTAAGATGTTTCCATTGTCCGTATCAATGAACATTGAGGTATATTTGGTGCTTGAACTATTGAAAAAGGCAGTTAGAAGGATTTTTAGAGGGAGTCTCAAGGATTCAGTGGTCTGGTCCCCAACGTACCCAACTGCCAGGTGGTCAGATGAAATACCTGTTGGTTGATCTATTTCAGCTGCTGAAATAGATCAACCAATAGAAATCCTTCCACTTTATGAAAACATAAAGTGGACTGAACCAATGAATGTGTGACAGTTCTGTTGAGGAAAACTAGGTTCTGGGCATTCGGGTCAGTGATGAAGAACAGAATGAAGTCAGGCAGGAGAAACATTCCAGCAGAGCTGTCACCACATCTGGTCAGTGTTGGGCATCACATCAGTTCTCGCCTCAATATTTTCCATCTACAAAACTATCCCTAAATACTCTTATGACATGGAAAAGACTGTGAAGCCAGAGCTCAGCGTATCAAAGCACAAACGTCTTCATAAGCTGCAGGATGCAGCATAAGAACAGCTGTGTATTCTCTAATTGACGTAGGTAGGTGTGTTTCTGCATGTATTTACACTAGTTTCTCATCCAATATCTCCAGCTTTTCACTTTAATCTACTCTGCTAATTGTTGCTCAGAGCAACTTAAAAAAAACAAAAACAAAAAAAAACAAAAACAGAGACTGTGAGTTTAACAGTAATAACTGTCAATATGCTTACGACCAGGCCTGGAGGGCTGATGTCCTGTTACTTCTATGTCTCCCTGGTCCAACACACCTGAATCAGATGTTTATGACCTGCTCAGTCTACAGTGAAGTTCTTCAGGGACTTGTTGATGAACTCATGGATTGACTCAGGTGTGTTGAAGCAGAGACATATTCAAAAGTTGCAGCACATTGGCCCTCAAGACCTCTGAGGGCTCCTTGGTCCAGATTCTCTTCTGTAACAGTTTAAACATTTATTTCATGCGTTTAATAAAAATTCTAAATTGCCGGTTAACTGTGTGAGGCTGATGTATTCAAACTGTTCAAACACTTCGGTTGATCAGTTCTTACTTAACACATTTTTTAAAACTATTGCAAAGGAACAAAATACATACTCTTTCATTACATTGTATTATTGATTACTTTTGTCACTGGGAAGTTCTTAGTTCTAGAGGTAAGTGAAAGAGATGAATGCTTTTCCTCCTCACCTCCCCTGGTTTATGGCTGCAGAGTCTGCTCCTGAGCAGATATCCTCTATCACATAGGGATTCTTATCACAGCTGACGTTCAGTGTGGTGTAGTTGGGTTTGCACACAGTGAGGAAGTAGGGTGTTGGATTGCCAGTCATTAATTGCAGGATGTCGGTAATAAGGGCGGTCGCACACAGGCCAAACGCATGAACTCCTGAGGATGAAAGGTTTGACGTGAGATAACTGTACAAGAAGTCGAAAAATCATACCTAGGATGATAATGTGAGAAAATGCAACATGAATTAGGAAGAACCAAGCGTTTATTAGTCTTAAACCAAAAACTAAAAGTGCTCATACCAACAAAGCGGATGGCTCGGCGAATGAAAGAGTTGAAATTGCAGCCAGCTGCGTTGATGCTAGCCTCTGTTCCACCGCCAGTCTTCCTCCGAGAGAGGCAGCAGAACAAGATGGCCTCTCCAATCATGATCTGGAGAACAATCACTCATTTATTGCATGTGCTTTCATGTAGATGTGGTTGGTAAAAATTTTACTGAGGATGACAGCAGACTCAACATTTAGTCTTCAATGTGTTCTTTGTTACTTACTTGTTAGGCTTAACCTTTGCTGTACACATTCTGGTTGGTACTGGATCATTGTTGCCCTTAATAATGTTTATATATTTTCAGATTTAATCCAATTCAATTAAATTTTTAATATGGCATCAATTCACATCGTATGCAATCATATCAAGCAACTTACAAGACAGACAGACACAACATATGATCTAATAAATCCAAGATGTTACAGTTTCATTCAAGTTATAAAACAAAGCAACTTCCATTCATTATTCCAACTGATAGAATGTTTTCTAAGTAATCCTAGCCAGCTGCATTGAGCCACTAACTTCCCAGTAATCCGCCTCCTGAGCAAGGATGTGGGAAAAGTCAACAGTTGATCGTATCGAGCCATTAACTTTATTTAAATCCACACCCAGAATTTATTGAATTCTAGGTGTGGTGGTGGCGCAGGGGTAAAGTGCGCGACCCATGTACAAAGGACCGTCACAGGTTTGGTCTGGACCAATGACCTTTGCTGCATGTCATCCACTGTTCTGTCAGATCACTATCAAAAAATCCTAGAAAAAAAATTTCCTGACTTTCTATGCTTGGTGCTTGGCTGTCTGACGTGCGGCCATGGGGTGGAGGGGACTGTGTGACTGGGTGGAGGGTTGATCTCTTACATCTCCTGTGTCTCTATGGCTGACATTCCTGTGCCTTGCTGACCATCTACCAATGTGTGGGGTGTACACATTGCCCTGGGTCAGTGCCTTATTTCTGTCTGCCTGGGGTGCTCGATGATGAGGTTCAGAGGCAAACAGTAAGAATAAGTTCACTTAAATGTCCATCCATTCATTCATTCATTCATTCATTCATTCATTCATTCATTCATTCATTCATTCATTCATTCATTCATACAAACAAACAAAATGCATTTGAACTGAAAAGTGTAGCTCACTCTGTATAACATTGCAATTTAAAAACACTTTATTAAAATGTGATGAACCTTTGAACTGCCACCCTCAGCCTCAGGCCATGTGAATGGCAGCTCAGTCTGCAAATTCCATTTCACTTTGGAGCCCCAGCTGAGGTTGTATGTGAACCTCTGGCTGTATTATTGTACAGTTTATGAGACTTTATACTTCTAACTACAGTTATAAGGTACACCTTATAAAGTGAAATATTCTGAATAAAATATTTTTTTTAATACTGATATTTTCCCATATTCAATCATGTGGTTTTCCAAAGAAACAGGAACTCTGTGCATGTTTATGGTCTAATACTCACAGTGATGGCTGGTCCAGCGAAGGCCAGGCTAAGCAGCATCAGCAGTGGGATGACCTCGTGGTTGGGGTCGATGTAGGGCAGGCTCAGGCTGCGGTCGTGGCAGTTATATCCAGAATTCACCGGCTTAAACACATCGGTCCACTCCAGGAAGTAGAGACTGACCACAGATGAGACCAGGATGGGCAGCTATGGAGACCACAGCCATACAGAGTTACCACACTTCCAGGTCATAAAAGCTGAAGCTTATGTAGAATTCCAGCCAGTATTTTTTTTATGGCTGTAGCTGCTGTTATGGTCTTTTGGATCAATGAGCATGTTCATTTGATTCAATGATGCATGGAAGATTATGGATGTGACCTATAAAAAGAAAAATGGAAGATGTTGAATCCAATTAACAACTAACTTGAAATGTACCCACTGATCCTAAATGTGATCACTANAAATCCCTGCCCCCCTCTTGCGACCCCATAAATATTTTTCTAGATCCGCCCCTGGTAACCAGTAAAAAGATGTCTACCCAAGTAGATAAGTATCTTTTCTCTTGGACATAATTGATGCATTGTGGGGACAATTTCACTGAAACATATTATGTTGTGGGGATTCTACTCTCTGTGGGGACCAAACCCAGTGAGAAATGCTGTCTTTGTGTTAGGAGTTGGGTTTAGGACTAAGGTGTGAATGGAGTTTTGGTTAGGCTGTAGAAATGAATGGAAGTCAATGAAACGTCTCTGCAAAGAGAGAGACAGAAATGTGTATGTGCGTGTGTGTGTGTGTTTGCGTGTGTGCAGGGGTGCAGTATAGGGGGGGAAAATGTTGACAATTCTAGGGCCCTGACCAACAGTTCCACAATTTATTTTTTTATTTATTGTTCATAGAAATAAAAAAAGGGCCCTGTCAATTACAAAATTAATCGCATTGTATTTTGAAGATTGTTTTTAAGCAGTACAAATGGAATGTTCCCACTCCCAGACCAAAAAACACACATCCATATTTGCCCTGAACACCCCCCCCCACCCCCTTGCATGAAATGGTTCGTTCCTGCTTGGAGCGCTTCAACGTGATGCTGTTCGCAGCAGACAGTGGAAGACACGAACAACTGTGGCAGTTACTATGCTGCTAAGAAAAAGTTTAAAAAAATATATATAGAGAGAGAAAAAGGCAAGAGTGTCAATTTATAGCTCAGTTTTTCACTGAGAGGTAGGCAGACTGTGTGAGATTATCAATAGGGTTGCCACCTTTCAGAAATAAAATTAAGGGACGCTCCCGACGGCGTGTCATCCTATTCTCATGGGGTGGGACGTCCGCTGCAGTGATGGACATTATTTTATGGCAGTGTTTTTTGTTTTGAAAAACTGATCCATCCATAGAGCAATCGTTCATGCATAGAGGTCAGTTAGAGCAGTGGTCCCCAACCGCCGGTCCACGGACCAATTGGTACCGGGCCGCGCAAGAAATAATTAAATATTTCCATTTTATGTATTGAGTCTGGAGGATCTTTTATTTTGAAAATCCTTTAACCGGATTCTCTCGGTTACTAGCGTGCCAACGC